GAAGGTAGAACAAAAAATAGGGGCGAGGAGTGATGTCACAGCGGTTAAACAGAAAATTGGTCAAGGGAATTGCCGTCACTTTTCACTTTGATAAGTTGTAACTGTGTGCTAATGATGGCGTCTAGCATTGACGATACGCACTATGAGGCCTGGGAATGTACCAAGTCAATGGTCTAATGCTGGAAATCACAGATAAAATGAGTTCCACAAGTTCTCTCTGACTCTCCGACCAAGTTGCGAAAATGAGGTTGAACCAACATTACATAATTAAAGGATACTGTGACTAAACAGAAGGTCACACCGTCTTGGTATTCACATCTACGATATAATTATATTTCTGTTCAAAATCTTGTTGATAGCATCCATACCTAACCTGAAACCCATAGATTTGTTTTTATCAAAAAGACAGGCGTTTTTTTAGTTGTGATCATCTTAACATTAGTTCGTATTGAATAGCTTTCCATATTGCCAGTAGCTCTTCAAGCGCACACAAATTAGCATAGAATCCTTACCAAACTAAAAGGTAGGGCTATATTTTATTGTCTTACCAAAAAGTTGCTGTTACCCTATTTTGTTTAAGTTTATGAAGGATAAGTTGATAATTATGTCTAGGCCTTACATTTCGGTTGAATTTCACATGGCCACACTTCCCATAAGGTATCCTTATCCAATCTGGACGGCTTTCTCATCATCACCCCCAGCGGGACTCTAACCCTGGTTATGGGAGATCGGCGAAATGGTATCGAAACAGTAACCACTAGGCCATACTACCAAGCAGTTCCTTGGGTCATGGTCAAGAGTGAAGTTAGATGAGGGTGAGGCTTTTTCCCACTTTCTTTAATGGATTCACCGTAATTCAATATTGTATTAGCAATTAGAATAGACTAGGTTTCTTTAAGTATATATGAGAGCTTTCAAGACTATCAGTAGATCCGAAATAAGAGCTGCATTCATTCTATTTCGTTTAGGTTGATGAAGGCTTGCCTTTGGGGCGTAGTGATTAACGTTTCGAGATTATACACTGCTCTACCACACTTCGAGTTAAAGTCCTGCCGGGGGTGCTAAAGAAATTTAGATGAGATCGTTATTGCAATCCCCCCTGGATGATGCTACCTTTTGTGAAGCAAGGCTACTCATAGTTACATGGGAATTCGAGGCCGGCTCGTAGTATTATGAGAAAGTTCATTTATCACACGAAATGAAGTGAATGCAAAACTTATATCAAATCTTCTGGAAATATCCTAAGGCTAATTATAAAATGAAAATTGTATAGTATGCACAGTTTAAGGACCCCCGATCAAGTAACAATATTGGGTCTCCTCGAGTTGTGCGAATCGTTCAATTTTCCAGAAAGCATCTTCCCTCCATCAGTCTGGAGTTAATATATGCACAGCTTCTTAATAGCTTAGTCTTCGAAGCGAATGCCACTTTAAGAGGTAATTATGACGGACGAATATTTGCTCATTCGCAAACTCTTCACTGATTAACAGTTAAGATTCATTGAATAGATGGCCGAATTTTATATTGTTTAAATTCAATTTTTTTCCTTGAAAAGTTGAAATTCATAAAATGTAGTGGTTACTTCATGCAAGGGCGAAATATATGAAACTCCATTTTGTTTGTTTAGCTCGCTTCAACGTGTTAGGAAGATACATGAAGCAGGATTCCACCGGAAGACGACAGCGGATACCTCTTTGCCTGCTGTCTATTGACTGTATTGGAACATGACGTTTAAAGTTGTTTCCCATTCTGGCGAAATCGTGCTAAGTTTCCGTCTGTCATATGGCGGGCATCGTAAGAGCAGGATATCATTATTACAAACCTATTCAGGCCAACGATTCTAATTTCTTTGAGTTATCACTACTAGTTTCCTAAATATACTTATTTTAAAGGCAAATAAGCACGCGCACGGGCACAAGCACATGCCTTTATATGATATAAACTAACCAAATTAGTTTATTGTGGGATGTTTTTCCACTTCGAATTAAAAATTGGTCAGAAGGAATTTGTGATGTGGTCTCCCCAAAAAACGAATTCCGCGTAGTGATACTGTAGGATTGTGTGAATAAGTCTTCGGTTTACCGTCCTGCCGAGATTTTCTTCGCATAATACAACAGTTTTCAAGAATTCCTGCCAACAAATTTTCCTTCGAAATAGAAAATCATGTCACAATATATCATCAATGAATACGTGTAAAATCCGTTATTTTCTCGTCAAACATCTTTATACTTCATTCAACTATATATATATATATATATATATATATACAGCATTTTATGATAATCCAGTGAATTTTCCTAACCTGTTTCAAATGGTAACCTTTTCTTATAATGTTTGCCAAATAAGGGATAAAGGCTTAGCACCTCTTAACCAGCATCGAAGGAGAATGCCTTGAGAACAGCTTTATTAAAATGTTGTAGCAAAGCCTTTCGACAGGTGAGCAAAACAAGAATCCCCCATCGTCTTCTGGTGGGATCGACTTTTAAGTCTCTTTCTCACACACATTTTCTTTGAATTTAGGTGAATTCATCAATTATAAACTAATAAACGCTTTTTCGGACCCATCGGCGATAAAATGTATTCGTTAGAAGTCGTTTAAAAGTAAGACAACTGCTGGTGGAAGAGTACAGTCATGTGCCAGGTCCTCGGGTCCCCTTGGTGTTATAGCCTTCCGAATGCGAATGTGAATTTTCAGCAGTAGTGAGTGATGAAATTTTGGCGACAATGCCTGCGTTTGGGGTAGATAACAAGCATTCACAACTGCCGTCATATCAACACCCACCCCCCGATGGCTCCTCCTAGCTCTGACGCCCTTCTGGTGAATGGGACACATTTGTCCTGGACCCGGCACACGACTCACTAATAACCTGACTCTATCCCACCACTTTGTACGGCTGAAGCACTCGGATGCGCTTCCCCGCAAAGGTATCTAAAAGCCATTTCTGTCCCATTCAGAAGGTCGGGCTGCATTAGTCCGGCCTCTGAGACAGTGCCAGAGTTGAAGAAGACCGAAGCGGAGAGGGGAGCTCATGCTTCCAAGCCTCCCCTGTACCATCATGTCTTCTTGTGCCACCCGTTGGGAGCTGGCGCCATGCCGACGACCAAGTGAGACGAGGCAGAGAGGAGGAAAACGAAACTGTCCCAATGCCCAATACACGTGTTCCGACAGAATGACACAAGCTGAGCTGGCGGTCAGAGGAGTGGGAATTGGGGGGAGTGAGGGAAGGAGAAAATCACACAAGGTAAATGGTTCATCCTGGAGATGAATATAAAGATAGATAGTTGGAGCCATTGTATCAGAGAATAGGATATACAAGAGAAACTCGTATCCACACAAGCTTTCAGGCTATTAAGGTCTGAATCAAGAATTTGAACACAAAAGTGATTCTAGCTGGTCCAGACGGAGAAAAGCTTTGTTCCAGAAAATCCCTTAAGTATGGCTCAACTTTTAATGTCGAATGAAAGGTGGTTTGGAAGGAATTTGTGAAATAAATAAGAACTTATTCAATCCACGTCTATGAGGGCTAGTTTAAGAACGATAGTTGGATTTTTCCACAACTTCACTTCGCTCTGCCTCCCAAAAGATTATTTCATCCAGGATGTATTGAGTT